TCAGTGCTCTGCCCCACTTTAAACCCAAACTGAGAGTCTGCAGTTCTAGCAAATGGCATCAGTTTGTCCAAAAGAACATGTTCAAGCACTTTAGACAAAACATTAGCCAAAGCTATAGGACGATAAGTTTCTGAATTATTACTTCTGCCAATTTTGTCCTTAACTAGTGGCACCAATAGGATAGTCATTAAGTCATCAGGCAAAAATCCGCTGAAGCACAAGTAGAGCAGCACCAACACCTTTTGGCTGGAGTACTTAAGATGCTCTGCAGAGATCTGGTCAGGACCTACTGTTTTATTAGAGGACAACTTCTCAATGGCGGCACAAATATCACTAGGTCTAATACAAGATTCATCCGACCATTCATCATGTCCTCAATGTCAAACCAATCACGCTTTACACAATTAAACAGGTCAGAGTAATGTTTCCTCCACATCTCTGCAATGTTATCTGATCCATTTACTCCATCTATATTAGCAGGCAATGTCATTCTGCTGTTGTTCATTTTCTTAACATCCTGCCAACACCACTTCGCGTTATTGCTCTGAAATTTTCTAGCAAAATAATTTGCCCGCATAGAGTTTTCATGCAGGGGCGGTTCTAGACCAAATTTTCCAGGGGGGCCACAGTGGGGCCAGTATTTTTTCATGGGAGCACAAGTCAAAAAAAGGGAAAAATTAGGGCAATATCAAAATTGTTTTTTTGTCTCCACCATATGACTAATTTTGTGCTTGTGCACAATTTTGCCAAAGGAAATTCCTAGTACTGTGAAACTACTCACTTTTTTGTTCTCTTCTTTTTCATATCTATCTTTACCATATTTTGGGGATCAAATTTATCAAAAATTTTCCTTTACTTTTTTCATCTATGATCTTTTACAGCTGTATTTTACTAAAATAAGATTCAAATAAATTCGTAAGTAAAGACAATGAACAAGTAAACTATTGCAGCGAATGCAGTAATGGTATACTTGTGAAAGTAAAACTGGCATGTTTTTATGGTACTCAGATAACAATTCTGAATGCTTCACCGCAACATGAGACTTGAGTAAAAAAATAATTCTAGTTGATTATTATAGTTTGTGACTTTATTTGAAGATTACACGTACTGTACATATGAAAAATAAACATTCAAACAAATTAAATATGTGCACAATACAATTTCAGACAATTTTCAGACAATTTCAATTTTTGCCTTTCAGACTTTGCATGTACCAAAAAAAAAACCCTCCTCTCTCAGTTGCTTTTTTCCAGTTCCTAAATCCACACGGTGAGTCAAACACACTTCCTGCGCTACTTGGTGAGCTAAAATGTCTGCATGCATGACAATAAGTAGAGTCCAAAGTAACAGAATATTCAACCCAAGGATGACTTTCATACCAGCTTGGCTGAAAGCTGCGTCTTCTGTCTCCTATTAATGTCACTGGAAATGTCCTCAAATGATGCTGAAGGAGCGGTGGTCGCATCATCAAACCACGCCCCCACCCAGCACTATTTATAAAGAGCTTACAGTTAGAAACCATTTCATCCAGACGATCTAGCGCATCAGCATGATGGGGTTCTACAATCAGTCAACCCTTGATGAATTATGGAGCCCGCAACCGAGCTGGGTACTAACGGCTTCATCACCACCGAGATACAACGGCAGTCTGTGGCCCACGATGCTGCCATCATGTTTTCCGGAGGATAACTTACCACGACTCCCCACAATCATGGAGGTTCCAGAGACCGTCTCTGCTGACGTACCATTCCGACCCTGGGTCGACGAGACTCTGGCGAGTCCTGATACTGCTCAACCTTCAGTGACATCAAACCCTGAACCGCCACCGGTTCCGCCTCAACCTTGTCAGGAGGAGGAGGACAGTGTGCAACAGCAACCCCTCGACATTCAGAGCACCGGTGTGTTTTTTCCACCCCTTCTCGCCTGGGGTCTCCACCAATCACATACCTCCTAACGTGATACGTAATATCCCACTGCCCTTGAACATAACAGTTATTGTTACCGGTACTTGTCTTGCAATGTGAAACGCTTGGTCTCATATTTTGTAAGAAAAATAATAAAGTTTCCCCCAAAATGCGACTTATAGTCCAGTGCGACTTATGTGTTTTTTTCTTCTTCATTACACATTTTATGGCTGGTGCGACTTATACTCCGGAGCGACTTATAGTCCGGAAACTACGGTACGTTAAAAATATTGAAAACTTGCTCAAAGCAAAATATATTTTCATTAAGGAAATAACTTATAAAGTTACCGATTTAATACTTTTTAATTCACAGAAAGATAGTTTTCATGAAAAAGCACCGCAAACCGCTTTTGTTCAATCGCAGGAAGCTCTCCTTTGAGGAGAAAAGCATGAATTTCTTTGTATACGGCAGTGGCGGTTCTACATGGAATTACTCCCCGGTGTAATGATGTGCATTGTTGTTTGGCTTGGTTGGTTCCGCAGTGTGTTGTGTTGCTGCACGGGCGTTTTTAGAGTATGCACCGTCATAGGGTGCCGGCAGAGACTGTATGTTGGTGGAGTCTTGTTAATAAACCTTACTACGCCGTTGGGTGGGAAATAGATATTCTGGAGTTTGTCGTGAATGAGACCAGAATATAACACCCAGGCGAGGCCCCCTTTGAGCGCCCCCCACCCCCACCACACCACCTGCACGAACACACGCATGTTTTCTACAAACAGGCATGTTTTATTAGAACGACTATTGAACATTCATTTTTCTAAGTTATGTGCATATTTACATTAATTACTATGAAGTTGTCAGAATGTAAAGCAAAATACATCATATACTGTATCAAAATATATAGAATCAAATATACAAAAACCACTAAACTAACTAAATATTAAGAATATATGAACATAATATATAATAAATATTCCAAATAGCAAAAAAATTTCACACATAACAAACTAAAGATAATCACTACAGCACTGCACTTAGAACAGAAAACACAAACTAAAATTAAAACCTAACCTTGATGCAACGTCATCAATAATGTCATCATATGAAATCTGCTCCCCTACTGAGTGACTGATACTAATCAGAGCCAGGTGAGTGAGCCGCCCCTGAAACATAGGTGACCTCAGGTATGACTTGATCAAGTTTTGAAAAGCTCCTCTCAGCTTGAGCCACAGTGACTGGCAGAGCAGTCCAAAAGTTGGGGTAGATCTCCAATAGATCTCATGATCCATAATATTTTAGAATTGCCTCTGAAATTGTAATTTAAACTGACATAAAAAACTGTAGACTACCAAAAATGCCAACTTTTACAGAACAAATCATGTAAAAAATAATCAGTGCAGCCATCTGCAATAAATAAACAGGATAGTTAGTGGTGACTGGGGAGTTTCCTTCTGCTTGTAGAGTTGTTTTATTTATTATTATGTGAGCATGATCAACATGTGTTTGTTGTTGTTCAGACAGGCCACAGGCTGCAGCGAGCATTTAACAAATCCTAGTTTGAATCAGTAAAAAATGATTCAAGGATTTTTTTTAACCATTTGAATATTCGTTTCAATATTTCAGCCCTAGCTCTGTTAGCAATTAGTTGAACGAATTTAACCGTTAAAATCCCAGTTAACTGGTTCAAAAAATTGAAAACATGCATCATGAGAGCTACATACCTTTATCTTTCTCCTCTTTTTTCTTTTTTTTTTTTCCTGAATCGGGCACCTGGTGGTTAGCCTTTTTATGTTCATCTCTTCTGTTTGGCTCTTAACTCAATAAGTTTCCTTTAGTCAGGACTAAACCATTTGACCTTGATGGGGGGGTGACCACAAAATCGTTTTGTTTTTCCTTTTTTTATTCGGCCATTTCACACAATTCAGAAAAGCCTGAAAGAATGATAGGCCTGTGTTTATGATATTATGAAAGAAATGTGCGTTAAATGGAAGAACATCAAGATGTGATTGACTTTAGCCATGTTACAGTTGATTCAGCCCCTACCGCTCATTTCATTTGGACCCACCCAGAGGTGAATTCCCCGCTACGCCCCTCCCCTTCCTCTTCCTCATACACACACGGAGCACGTGAACGTTCTCAGTCAGCAGGAGTGCCTGCAGCTGCAGGGGGCGCCATCTTGCTGTTTCCAATCCAGACTCTGTGATATGACAGAATAGAAAACCTCGGTGTGCGCAGATTTCTTTCTTTTTTATTTTTTTACTCAGCGCTTGTGCGCCCCTTTTGTGTCATGAAAAAATGCCGCCCCGGGTAACTGCCCTGTCTGCCCGTGCCTAAAACCGCTACTGGTATACGGAGGTATCCATTGTTTAAACGTCCCGCAGTCGGTAACTGTCGCAAAGCTGTCAAAGAGAGGAAGTGACGTAACATTCGCGCATGCCTGGTACGAATCGGTTTCCGGTACGGATCGGGTAGTGACAAGCCCCACCCCCAGCTCCACCTCTCTTCCCTTTTGTGGAACTGTCTGGGCTTGACGGAACCTGTGACATGGTCAAAATGGCGGTGGTGGCCACCTCCCATTTTCCCTCAAAAACGTGTTATTGGAGGCTATGGAAACCCATTGTCCATATACATGTCGATGGTTAATCCAGGGATTGTTTGGACAGAAAGATCTCTTGCAGGCACAAAATGTCTGCAGTTTCCAAGAGAGTGTCTATAACTACGTGTTTGGCTCTGTCCCCTGCATATTGTCCAATATGCACAGGCCCCGTGAGTTATATGACACAATGTTATAGTTGTTAATAGAACGATCAAAGCGGTTTCCAAAACCTTTTCTATGATTTTTCTTTTTTTTCACTCACTTAAACACTTACAGAAATGAAATAATCAGCTTCCACTGAACCAGTGTAAACTCACTTCTACCGCGTGGCACTTATAAAAAAAAAAAAAGTCCTGGTTTGGGTCGAGGAGGGGCCACCGGGTCAGATTTCCAGCGGAGTGCGACCCCCGATCCGCTGACGAACGTCGGTTTGTGCTGAGCCTGCGCGCAGCCGCAGATCCAAAAGCAGAGCGTGGCCGTCATCTCTATACTAGTAGCCCGTCCATGTGTTCTACAGATCGTTGGGTGAGCTGTTCAAAGTCCAGGCGATTCCTCCCGACTGTCTCAGCATCCTTCCCAGCAGTGGGGGGAGAAAGGAAAAGCTAAACTCGAACTTTCATTAGACTCGCGAAAAGAGGAGTAGATATGGATGAAAACGAGGTGTTGGTATGACTTTGGGAGACGACGGGCCCATACGTTTCACACTCGGTAAAAGAATGATAACATAACCCTCGCGTTAGGTGGTGTTTAGTGCGAGAGGACGCGAAAACCTTAATAGTGGAAAAGTTTGAAGCAGCTTCGGGCTATGGCGCGGGACAGCGACGACGCCGGAGCTGCCAAAGCGTCAAAAGCCAAAAGGCAAAGGAAGAAGAAACCCAAGGAAAACAAAACCAGGACTGTCCACGCAAACATACTTTATGACAACGCCAAAGGGGAGGAAAACCCAAACCGACACTATGTAAACAACAAAATCAAGACCACCAAGTACACCCTGTTGTCATTCCTGCCGAAGAACCTTTTTGAGCAGTTTCACCGCTTTGCTAACGTTTACTTTGTTTTTATAGCTTTGCTAAACTTTGTCCCGGTTGTGAACGCTTTTCAGCCCGAACTCGCGCTGGCTCCCGTAGTTTTCATCCTGTCCGTCACTGCCATTAAAGACCTGTGGGAGGACTACCGGAGACACAGGTCGGATAAAGAAATCAATCACATGGACTGCCTGGTCTACAGCAGGTAAGCTCGGCCGGCCGGGGTCCAGCTGCTGTGTGATGCTCGTGTTGGACTCGAACATGCTGTTCTGCTTCAGATGTTCTCATGCACGCACAGCTGATCCAGACACCAAAACACAACAATAATAAAGACCTCACACTCACCAGGCAAACCACTTCATGTAAATCCAAAAGTTCACAGTTGTAGAAGCATTAATGTGTGAATGGATGAATGATAGTGTAAGGCGCTTTGGAGTCTTGATTCTGAAAGATGCTATACAAGTGTGGGCATTTATCATTAAACTCCTGGATGAAAGGATTCGTGTCCATTTTCAGTCAGATGTGATTTTTTTTTCTGTGCAACGATTTGCTTTGACTATTAATTATGAATCAGTTTCCAGCCTGGTGACCTGTTTCTGACTAGTTTCCTGAGTATGTTTGAGCAAACTGCACTTAGCTAATGAAAAGCAGCCCTGTCTTCTACCTACAGAGGATAATTCACAACCATCAAAAGCCTCACTGTTGAATGGCTCCTCAGCGCTTGAGTTGTAAAGTTTAGACATGAGTGAATTTTCCTCTATATTGACAATATTGTGCTAAACATTGCTGCCTCTGTCAACCTGGTAAAACTCCAACAATACTTGGATCTGGCATATTTCTACTTGGGTTGGTGTGAAAATTTAACCTCACGGTTATTGTGACCAAAATTATCACGGTTTTCGGTTTTATCGCATTATTTTTTTTAAACGTGCTACATTTTCACACAACTAAATAAACCCTGTATGTCAGGAAATATTGTCCTCAGTTTGTGTCTAAATTTAGCCTAAAATGTGTTATTTTGTAATTATGTTGTTTATTTGTTTACATTTTTTCCCCTTTAGTCTTTAAAATACCAACATTTGCCCATAACTTCTTATTTTATGTCTGTTTGATGTCATCATTTTAAAAATATTAGATCAGATGATACTCAGTACTCAAGTAGCCTTCTAATCAGATACTTTTTTACCCTTTCTTGAGTAATAAACCCTATATCAGGAAAATATCGTCCTCGGTTTGTGTCCTTCCAGTGAGCTTTGCAGATGTGGGAAAATGTCATCAGGCAGTAATCGTTGTTAAATTCATAATTATTCTCAGAGAGAGACCAACTCTTATCTGCCCCTGGGAGCCCCATAATGCATAGCGTCATTTCAACATGGCGGTGTCCGCGACACGGTTTATATGCAGGTAGCGGCGCTGCGGCTGCTTTATATAGCGACTCGTTGCATTCTCCCTCAACCCAAATCCTCGGATCACGCATTTTAGCTAAAACGCTAACGTTAGCTTGCCTTGCGTTGACTGTAGAGTTGTGGGTGATGATCACGCAGATGTGTCATGAGATTTGAAGCGTTGCTGCCTTTCACAGACACTTTTTCTGCTCGTGCTGCAAACAGGATAGCCGTCTTCTATCAACTGTCCCTCGGCATTCTTCAAATATCCAAAACATGCCCGTACTTCCCACTTTGTCTTCTTTGAGGGATAATAAATGTCCTGAGCGCTGCCGTCTCCTCCTTTGGCCATTATTTCAGCTTTAGCTTCAAGAAAGTTTTGGTTGTAAACAACAAAGTGCGCATGTGCCGCCGGCAACTTCAGCAGATGATACGGTGGCTGGTAAGGGTCACTGCGTCTACACCGCAGCCACGGTAAACCCACCCAGATAATATAGTTTTTTTAAAAACAAGACGGTTATTATTATTGTCAACTTTTTTACCGGGGTTTACCGCTACACCGGTTACCGTGACAACCCTAATTTCTACTGCGACACATGAGATGACAAGTATGCACTGATGCATTTAGATTGTTGTAGTTTCAAGTTGCTTTTAATCTGTGTAATAAGCTTAAAGCAAAGTGGAACTGTGATGCCTATACGATGAAGTTTGAGGTTTCATTGTGTGTATTGTCTCGGGCTGTGTAATTCAAATTTGCATTGGAATAAATTCCAATTTTAGCTCCAAGCAATCACTAAAACGTAAATTATTTTGTTATGAGTAGCATTGCAGCCATGATCTTGTTTTGTTATTCCTCCCAAATTTCCATCCACCTCCTGTGGCTATACTCACTTGTACTTTGTGGGGTGTTTTCAAAAAGTTAGTGGGACCCCTACTGCTCACTGGAAGCATCAGCGGCGCGGAACGGCACTGCTTTAAATATAATCTATTAAAGTCTATTGAGCATCACAAACCAGCAGTGATGCTTCCCAGAAGCTGCATGCCGCGCTGCTAACGATAGGATCGGGTTCTGGCATGAATAAATTTCCGCAGTAAACACGGTTTCAGAGGAAAATCCCTGGTTATTTTCAAAATAAAAGTACTGCAGGGATGCAATTTCATATATGTGAAGCTTGTGTGACCTAAGGAATTATTAACTCCCTGTATTGTTCCAGAAGTGCAGCGGTGTGTTTGTCATGGCTTTAATCCTGGCAGTGAAGAGGCAAAAAATCATATATGACACCAAACAGCGATAACACTGGGATTTCCTTCTTCTTGGTTTAATGGTGGATTGCAGAAACAAACCCAGAGAAGCCGCTTCGCTGCAGAGACTTTCCCGGCATGCACTGGAGTGTAGTGATTGTCGCAAGTAAACCGTTCCGCTGCTGTTTCTGCACCGCTGATTCTTCCATTGTGCAGCCGGGGTGAGGAATGCATGTTTTCCAAATTTTCTTTAACCGGTTATTGACAACCTTAACGGTAAATAGCCGGTTCACCGGAAACAAACTCTGTATTTTAGGGATGTCCCGATAAAACGTTTTTCACTTCTGATACGATACAGATATTGCAGCCTTCAGTATTGACCGATACCGATATCAATCTGATATGATATCAGCACAAATCATACATACTTTTACCTAGTTTGTAGTGTGGAATGCATAAAAGACTTGATCAAGTGATATTACTCAGAGAACAAAAGCCAGCAACAGTAAGTATGAAAAACTGACAATTTTTTTTATTAACCTTTGGTTGCATGATGTGAACAGCTGAGGTTAGGGACATAAGGCAAAAACACAATATTGTTCACTGACCAACAGCTACTAGTTGAGTGTCTAAAGTTTCAATTTCACACACTGAGAAAATCCTCATGCAATGTTTTGTGATCCTGCTTCAAATGCACGATGAGGTTGGATGTAATAATCTTCCCCGGTTCTGTTCCACCACGGGAAACTTGTGCATGACAAGTGTTGCACTGTACCAAACTGTCTTTTTCAGACTTTAACGGAAAAAAAAGAGCCACATGGCTGACATTGCTCCTTGCTACTTTGCTAGCACACACTGCTCTGATCACGTGGACTTTGCATGCTGGATCTGGGCGCAGATGGAAAGAATTGCTGGAATGGAATTTAAAGTGGAATGTACTGCTAATATCGGAGAATTCGGATGCAGTCCCATATAATCCGATGTAGTGTTTTTGGGCCGATATCCGTATCGGAACGGGACATCCCTACTAACTATACGTAACATGTTTAACATGAGGTATTTGAACCAAAATAGAGGGATTTACATTTCAATGGTGGAAACAAAACCCACTGCACACTGCTGCCAACTAGTGGTTGGTGTTTGAATTGCACCAAAAGAAAAGAAAATACACAAATGTTTGCATGTAAAATCTTCCTAAAATTAGTTACAGCTTTTGAATATTGATATAGTATTGCAGGATAACATATCACGATATATTGCCATATCAATATTTTCTTCAATCCTTAATTAAGAACCTGTTGTATAGAATTAGGGCCCTCATTTAGCAACATTACTTGCACGCAGACCTGTGCCTATTCGTGCGTAAGTACAAGCAAATAGCGTAGGAACAATTTCATGCATTGTGTAGTATTAACCGTCTTGTACTTATGCGTGAAATGTTCCTAAATATAATCCTGTACATACGAACAGCATCAAGTGGTAGAATGGGCAACCGCAATACTCGGTCTTAGTCATCCATATGTGTTCCTCATTCGCAAATAATTTTACCCAATAATAGGGCTGCAACAACGAATCGATAAATTCGATGAAAATCGATTACTAAAAGCGTTGGCAACGAATTGCGTCATCGATTCGTTGTGTCGCACAACTCTTCCAAAAGCGCCCCCCCTTCCCGCCCGCCGTTGCGCGCAGACCAGAGCAAGTCAGATCAGCGCGAGGGAGAGCCGCAGATCAGCGCGAGGGAGAGCCGCAGATCAGCGCGAGGGAGAGCCGCAGATCAGCGCGAGGGAGAGCCGCAGATCAGCGCGAGGGAGAGCCGCAGATCAGCGCGAGGGAGAGCCGCAGATCAGCGCGAGGGAGAGCCGCAGATCAGCGTGAGGGAGAGCCGGCAGATCAGCGCGAGGGAGAGCCGGCAGACTTGAGCTGCTGCGAACCGGTTCCGCATTGTTGCACAGCGATCCAGGCAGCTGCTTCCAGCGCACGGTCCATTCTCAAAGTGGCGCAACCAAAAAACTATAATTAGCACACGATCGTTCATGTCCGCACATGTTCTCTATTTTCTGTCTTATTTGTGCCTGAAGCGCGCTACTGCGGAGCTCATCACCTGTGCTGTGGTGATGTCACGCAGCATCGAAAACGCGCTCTGCGCTTTTCGGTCAGGAGATCTCTTTGACCTGCTCAAAAGTAACTGATGAGGTGAAAAGGTAAGAATCCAGGCAACAGATTTTCTGGAGAATTATGAGGAGATGCAGGAAGATGAGAGACAGACAGGACAGGAAAATAGTTCAATAAAAACAAGAAAACAAAACAAAGTGTTGAAAAGTAAAATGTAGGTAGAGTTATCACCACTACACGTTTTTACCAGTAAAAAACAATAAGTTATACACATGTCATATTTATACATCTGATACAGTTCAGATCACCTTCAAAACTCAGTCACACACCCAGGGCCGTTTCAAGACATTTTGGGGGCCAAGGCAAAATGCCCCCCCCCCCCCCCCCCATAACTGGGCTCCCCAGAAGCCTCTGTGTAATTCATGCCCTCTCCAGTAGTGTTAGTTATACAGTGTTTATAAAA